TTATGAATTTGAGAATGTTAATATGATATTTAAACTTTTGCTCCTATTCCAGAAAGTCTAGTTTTCTGTTTTATAAAACTTCCAATAATTATGTTTTTATTTTTTTATGAATTATATTGACGAATATTAATTATTACATGAACGAATAAATAATATTATGTTTTAATTAGGGGAAATTTCTTTTTTAAGGTGTAACATTTTAAATATGCAATAACTTGAACCTGAATCTTTCCCGCTACGTAACCCCCCATCCTTATATCCCTTATGTTCATTATGTTCATTATGCCCATTATATTCGTTAAATCCAACCCCTATTTTAATATCACGTCTAACAGAAGAACTTTTACGTGTTTGAGATGGATCCTGCCGTCCTCTTGAATTTATTTGATAAGATGTTCTTGAAGGAACTAATCTTTTTGTGACATTATAATTATCATCCGAATTTGAAACAGGTTGATAATTTCTTGGAGGTAAAGAATTTTGACCAAAATTATTGTTAATTCGATGATCGATTAACCTCCTTGAAACTGGTAAAGGAGGGATATTATTGTGGTATTGAACATTACGTGGATTGTTGTTATTGATACCATTAAACGAATTTGGAGGTGGTGGTGCATTTCTATACCTTCCCCCTTCCATTCTTGTGGAAGAATGATTTGCAATCGGAAACGAGTTACTCATAGAATTATTATTACGAGGAATTGGTTGTCGACTTCTGTTATTATTAACTTCAACAACATTTTTGTCTCCGTTCATTGGTACTTGTCTTTTAATAAAAGTATGATCCGTTTGAGGCATAAATGACTTATTTGATGTATTGGGATTGGAATTGGAATCGTATAACCAGTTTGGTAGGTCCCCACCTTTACCTTCATAATATTCCCTTAAAATTCGAGAAATATGAGTTTCACCATCCCAATCATCCTTTTCTGATTCTAAATGAATAATAAACTCTTACTTTAAATTCAAAGAACAAGAAAAAATTTTCATCAGAAAAAAAAAAAAAAATACTTACCATTATCCGAATCTCCACCAGCATTATTGTATATATCTGCAGCATTACTCATCAATTTATTCCATAAATTATAACTTTTAAATTTACTCGAACTAAAACTATTCGTTTCAGAAGAATTTGTTGAAGGGGGTTGGAATTTCTTTGGTATTGCAGGCAATGCAGGTATGGCTTCTAAAGTTGGTATATCACACTTATGTCTTGCAGGATATAAGCCAACATCTTGACCACAATCTTTGCATAATATTACAATTCGTGAAACGCGGTAATCTATAACTTCAGCCAACATTTTTTTTTAAAATAAAAATAAAAACTTTAAACCGAATAAAATTAATTCTAAATAATATGCAATAATGAAGGCATGAAAACAATTGTATTTTTAAAATCTATATTTTTTATACGTTTGTCCAGCAACGTAAAAAAAAAAAAAAAAAAAAAAAAAATGGATGATTTTTTTTTTTTTTTTTTCCTCGAAACTAATAAATCAAAAAATAAGTTGTACAGATTGATAATCAAATTCATTACCAAATTTAAATAATTCTTTCAACAAATAGTTAC